AAAAAAACGGTAACCTGGTTGCCGAGTTCACGAAGTGAATTGGCTTGTTTTACAACGTCTTTGCCAAGCGAGAAAACCCAATCCCGATGGCAAACACCGGGGGGGGCGGCTTGTTTTACAACGTCGTTGCCAAGCGACGAAACCCAACCCCGATGGCAAACACCGAGGGGGGGGGGGAAACAACATGATCTACTCGACCACCATGATGGTTACCTCCAAAAAAAAAACGTCGACGGGGGGGTGTTTTAATCCTTGTCCTCTGCATGATGGGGCGTTCAACGTGTCTCGGTTTTTGCCGCTACTGGTGTGGTGTTGGATGTGGTGTGGCCCCCCAAGGGGGTGGTCAGTAGGTCAATTCGCACGCGTGGCAGCCAGACCCTGCGTGTTCCGCCGTGTTCCCCCTTTGGTCCGTCTGCCGTAGGAGGCATTTTCCATGCCTCCCATTCGCCACACCCGCACGCCGCACCCTATCCCACGTAGAGAAGCGGCGGCTTGAAGGACGCGTGACGCACGCAGACCAGTCTTTTTTTTTTTTTTTGCTCGTTGTGGTCATGGCGTGTGTTTTGCCCCGTTGGTCTCGCGTGAGCATGCTATGGAGTGCTTTTCGTCTTCTTTTTTTTTTTAACTTCCCGTTGCGCGTTTGGAGCAAGATACATATAAACTGTAAAGACTGGCAGCGTCAGACACGCACCACAAAGTGTACTTTTCCCTTTGCATACCTGCTTCTATTTTATCATTTGCGAATTAGTTGGTGGCGATTTTTTCCTTGCTTTTGCTCTGCACCAGAGGTACAAGGAGCTGCTGACGCACGTGAGCTCTGTGACAAGAAATGAGAGCTCGGACAGCGTGAACGGCATCTTGGATACAGTCTCGGTTTCGGAAGACTTGAGAATGGTGAGTCATGACATGCAACGATTCAACCGCAGTGCTAGGCGTTACGTATGGGTAGTGTCGGGACATTCAATGATTGTTGGACAGGAGACGTCGATTTGTTCGGAGGGGGTGTACGAAGCATATGATTTCATTGAGAGGGTGGGAGGGGGCGGCGAGTAGTTGCTGCTGGGGGGGGGGCATAATGATGTATATACACGATGCACTCTAGGTTTTATCGTCACAGTAGTGAGAGCGCCGACCGATCGCTTGATCATGGGTAAATCATGCAGTTGTTGTCGTGTGTGGGGAATAGCTTCGAGTGCGACTTCAAGGAAACGAGCGTGACTCTCGACACGCGACGAAAAAAGCGACACACTGCTGTGCCCGATACGCGTCCCCACGTCCCTCCGCTTTCCTCCAACCGTGAACCTGCCGTGTTTGGTGGTGGTGATGTGATACCACAGGTGTCCCAGATGTATGAGACAACCCTTTCGGCCTTGAAGGAGGAGGGGAACGAGCGAATGTGGTTCAACACCTACGTCAAGCTTGCCAAGGTAGGCACCGTGTGTTGGAAGAAAATTGCAGACTTCGGTACCCCCCGCAGTTAGTCACTTCAATGGTGCAGACGACCGTCGATGTCGCTACGTAGTCATGGGGTGATGGCGTCGACCATCTGCCTTTCTCGAGGCTGCTGTTCGCTTGTTTTTGGAGATTGGTCCGTTCAGCACAATACCTTTCGATTGAAGAAAAACCATCAAGCCAACCGGCAGAGGTGATGTACACACACAACTATAATGCACGCCAGCCGGAACGAGCGTTGTACCGTACGCTCGTCACTTCGAACGTTACTTTTTTTTCCCCTGAAAATCGCAAACAGGTGTACCTGCAAATCCCCGACTACGTCAAGGTCCAGACGACCATCGACACCCTCCACGACTCGTGCCGATTGGCCAACGGTCAGGACGACCCCTCCAAGGGGAACCAGCTGCTGGAGGTGTACGGCATCACCATCCAGCTGTGCACGGCCACCAACAACAACATCCTCATGAAGGAGGTACCGCTGTACGCCGTGATCATCTCGGTATTGCGTTTGCTCCCTTAGCGCCTTGAGACAATGCGATTTGTTTTTGCGAAGAGAAAAAAGGCGGTGGTGTTTGCCGTGCGTGCCGACAGCAGCAGCGCACGCGGGAAGGGGAGCGCGCCCGTGGCTGTCCCCCTCGTTGCTGCTACGCATACCTTGGTGCTTGGGGTGTTGTTCTTGTCCTCCTTTGTCTTGACCGATATGATGTCGTTGGATCGTGAGGTGTGCGGCTCCAACGCCTCACCGCTCGACTAGCTGCCACCGCATCGTGTGGTCTGAAGCATGACATCCTCGCTTGAAGGGGGTGCCCGGGTTGCGTACTTGCGGTTTTTGCCAACGAATTGCGTCGTCTGTCCAGCTAGCGGCTGTGCGCATTGGTGCGCCAGGGTAGAGCCCTAAACCATTACAGCTCAACAGTTTATATACACCAGAGGCTCTTCCATGAAAGGTTCCGCGGCGGTTTCACGAGGAACATGCCTACGTTGTGATATGTTCTCGCAGGCTTGGCCCGGTGTACCGGTGTATGGTGATGATCGTGCTCTCTTTCGTGTTTTGTTGTGATGTGAAATTTTTCTCCTTGGCGTCAACGTCCGCGGTCAGTTGCCTAACCAATGCTGGAGGGAAGCGAAAAGTGTTTTTTTTTTAACTCACAACATTCCTCGCTGTGCTTCGGTCTTCCAACCGTATTTTGGCCATTGCACCAATCTTCGTCTTGCCCTCCCTCCCTCCGTACCCTTGCTTCCCTTGCATATGTTCGCGTATCGCTTGGTTGTTTTTTTCTGTTGCCGCACCTCCGCCTTCGGCCTCCACCCTGTTGCTCGCCTCTGGCTCAGCCCCCCCCCCCCCCCCCCCCCCCCCCCCCCCCCCCCCCCCCCCCCCCCCCCCCCCCCCCCCCCCCCCCCCCCCCCCCCCCCCCCCCCCCCCCCCCC